AAATAAGAAACAGCAACCCTAAAAAGTCCGTAGGGAGTGCCAGATTTGGCGCATAATTTTTTTTTTGGGGGGAGGGTATATCAAAGTTGTACCGTTCAATTTTATGCCCTAATGCCATTCGCAGTAATTAAGTCAATTAGGATGCAATCACACCACTCACCCGAAGGCGAAAAATATAGAAAGGGCAAAATCAAGGATTCATTTCTAATGAGAATGCAATAGTGAAGTAAAGCACTGCGGTTTTACATAATTTCTGAGTGAGCTAATCGTACGAATTGAAATAATTCTTGCTTTTAAACTTGTATTCCAAATTAAGATTTAACTTGAAATTAATGTAAATAATTACTTAGGAAATTAGATTTTTGCAGCGTAGTTTATGCGAGATTACTCGTGGTAACGTGATATGAACCGCGAATCAGGATGTTGAAGCATGAATGCGTAGTAAATTTTTAAATTAGCGTCTTTTTTACAAATTTATTGTCTTTATTTATTGGTTTTCTACAAAATTTTAAACGATATTAAAATGTTTATGCCTCCAACATAAAAAATTCTTAGAACTAACATTTGTTAACATTTTTTATGTGTATACTATATATTGTCGCCAATAACACCTGCTTGGCGAGATTTGTGCGGGCAGAATGAAAAAGTACCAAAAAATGTTGTATTTCCCCGTGCAATGCAGCGCAAGATAAATTTTAAGAGGACCTATGCAGGAAAAGTAAGAATACAGGGGCAAGTGCATTTAACTATGAGTGAATGGATATCTCAGTAATTTGTATTGAAATTTAATAAATGTAATTGACCACTATGTTAGCTGTATCCGTAATTCCATCCTCTTTAGAAATCAGAAATTTACAGTTGTTTACATTGCGTTTGCCGTATAGTATGGGTTACCACATGCTCGTAAACCGGTGTGGATTGCCACATCATATGATTTATCACCCTTCTTGGCAATATTTTTTGGTTACAATTCTGGGTGGGCTATACAAAAGCTGTTCCAAGACATAGATTCTGAATATAAAAATTTATTACTACAAAAAGAAGTAAGAAAAATGTCAAGAGGTATGCTTTGAATGAACAAGAGAGATTAATGGCAAGCTCTCTGCCAACCAGTTCATTAACGAAAATAGCATATCTTTAGTCAAATACTTCAACAAGTATCCATTTAATAATTCCTTCTTCCATTCAATAATTGAACAGAACAACGTCAAAATCATTATCGAATCCTTAAAATAAAAATAGACTCAAAGTTAGAGAAGTGAATGAGATCACCACAAAGTCATGTTGCAACTGCAACCTTCTGCTCAATCTTCCATACATCTGAACTGCAATTCTGAGTACAGCAACTCTCCATAAACGAATAAAAGATGACAAATGTGATAAAGCCCTTTATTTGAGCTCCAGCCCATGACGTAGAAAGGTTATCTGTGACAGCTGTTCTACTTTTATTTTATTTGGGTTTAAATGTGGTTTTTATGTGTTCAGCTAGGTTTTTCTGTGTTGATTTTATAACATTTTTCAAAAGATTTAATTTGTTATGTAGTGCCCCCCTCCCCCAAAAAAAGCACATCTGTCTCATCAGTGTGTGATTTTCTTAACTTTTGTATACTTCAAACAAAGCCTAAACTTGTTTCTTTTCATACATATATTGTTTACCAAAGAAATCGATTACCGTATTTGCCGCCATATAAGACGTACTTTTTTCTTTGAAAACAGGTCTGAAAAATACTATATGTCTTATATGCTGATATTTGCACCCTATTCGTCGATACTTATTACGTTGATACGCCGTTTGTGAATGGGTCAAAGCTTTATGGGATGCTGTGAAAACAGAGAAAGTGGTTAAATCGGCTAATCTTTGGAATATGGTAACAGGTAGTTTGCCGACATTTTGGTAAGGCAATAAAGGTTACTAGCTAGGACTTTAGCAGTGTACATGGATAAAGTCAAGAGTGTGCACAATGCCATTTTTGTGCAATTCTGGGATTTTTTTTTAAGTGAAAATAGGTCGACATGTACATGGATACCGTGTATGTGTAATTCTTAAAAACGCGGCAAGCAGTTTGCGATTCTCCACTTTCTTCCAATTTCGCACCTAATCTTTGCCATGATTAAGCACTTTTGTTCCATAAAAGTTCTAGCATAAGCGTAATTTGGCTAGCAGATTGTTGGAAAAAAATGTTGAGTAAAAAAAGAAAAAAAAACATGCCTTTACTTCGTGAAAACAAAATGGCGTTCAAACAAAAACTAGCAGGTTACTGTAGCAGGGTTGGTCTCCAAATTTTCACCCAAAAATTGCCAAGTTACCATAATCCAAAGATTAATCTTTAAATCATTTAAGAAGTGTGGGATTAGTATTGCACTGAATGGTATAGAGGACAATTTGTCGTACAAGAACTCGGATGCTGATTTAGAAGAGGTTTCAAGTAACTCTTCACTTAGCTCTAGAGATGAGTGTCTGGGTTTTCACAAAGGAGATTAAAAGGTGTTCCATATCAGATAGACTGGGTATTTGCAGAAAATATACTTTGTATTTGTATTACTTTATATTTAAAATACTATAAATTCATTATAACGATCAGTAACAAAAGTTTTATCCTTCAAAAATGTGCATAAAAAAGGGAGGGTGACTTATAGGCCGGCAAATACAATACTTATAGGAAAATATTTATTTTTATATCTTCATCTGGTGTCAGTATAGCATGCAGTCCACCTGATTTTCTTAATGTTTTAATTATTTTATTAAGAGTTTCTATTATAATTAATATAATTGTTAATACTTTTATGGGGTATCTTGGAATATTTACAAAAAGGAATAAGATATGGAGCAGTACTTTTCTCATTTTAAAAGCAGTTCAGATAATTTATAAAGCCTAAATATCTACAATGCTATTAAAAGATTTTTCACAAGTTGGTTGTCTTAAAAATTGATGAAACTGCTGTTGAGTGAAAAAGTTGCTGTTGGTTTTGTAGAAGAACACAGCCTTTTAGAAGAAGGACATGGATGTGCAGAAACCAATCATTGGCGTAGTAGTGACACTTGTGGTAGTGAATGCAGATCAATCCCCCCAGAAAGTCTGTCATGTCACATGTTCCATTCTAAAAGGAGATATTTCTCTAATTACACAGATATAAATCAAAGGATCATTCCAGTCTGACTCTATGTGAAATCCTGAAGCTTGTGCTGTATTTTTTCAAGTATATCTTTAGGGATACTACTGGTAGACTTACATGCAAGTAAAAAAATACGGCTCTAGTGTAGAGCCGTATTTTTTTACTATTACGTATTTTTTTGCCCCTTCGATTAGCGACAATTTTTTGTAAAATTTTGGTGATAAAACCTCATTTCTGGTTACCATGATAGTTTAACTTTGCTTTAGCCTCCTGATTTTTTTTTTAAATAAAAATAGATTGATGTGTATATGGTCAAATTTAAAGCAGTGCACAATGCCTAGTTTGTGCAATTCTGGGATGTTTTTTTAAGTGAAAACAGATCAATGTATACATGGACACAGAGTTTATGCAATTCTTTGACTTCTTATTTTGGTTTTGTGTAGCGGCCACCTTGAAATCGTGTCTTCCTGGTACCGATCTTGGCATCAAAAAAGAATCGCCAAAAAACAAGAGGCACCCAATTGTAAACTTTTACCAAAAATACCATCTCCAACTTGTTTACTATTAATATTGCACTGCCATGAGGTATACAGTTTCACTGTGACAGCAAGACCTTAGATGCAAGGTTCTGATGAGAGTCCTGCGCAAATAGACGAAGCCAGATCTGCAGGTCGCAGAAAGCATGATCGAGGCCAAGTTCTAAGGAGTGATAGAGGATAGGAGTGATAGACCTGCCATATTTGAAGACAGTGGTGCTGCAATTACCAATAATAGACATTATGGCATAAGAATTGATGGTGATGGGTATTTAGTCTGAAGAAGCATTCAATTCAGATTGTCGATACTTTTAAGTGCAGTATCAAGATACAACTTCTTGAATACCAATAATACAGCCTAAAGTTGCTGCTAGATCAGTTATATATTCTGATGAATGTCAGTTTACATAAATTTTACAGAATTAGGTTATCATCTAAATGTTAATCATCAAAAATTTATGTCGACCCATCAACAAAGGCACATATGCCATCGAATGAGACCTTGGCTTGACATAAAAAGTGCAGATATTAAAAGAAAATGAGAGGTATACCAAACGTGCATTTTTAATTTAACCTTGACCATTTCTAAATTTATTCTTTGAATTTCTTCTTTTTTTTTAAAAAAAAAAAAGTTATTAATTTGGATTTAGTTTATGCTTTTAGTATTGATTAGGAAAGTACAACTATATTCGATTAGGGAAAATTCTCACACATAGCTACTGTAACAGATTTAAATAATATTAAAATCTTGTAGTTTAAATAATTTAAATAGATGAACATTAAGATATTTGTGAATGGCAATATTTGAAACCAGACTCGAGTGCCTCGTGCGACTCTCGCACGAAGAATGTAATTTTATTTTTAAATGTTTGAATATGTTTTCTCTTTTTGTTTGTATGTCGCCATTTTGAGTGCTAAATAAAGTTTTTTTCTGTGTTCCATCATTGGAGTTGTTTCATATTGCCAAAGAAGTATCACACTACCCTGGTGTGTACACCGTTCCACGGAGGAGTCGGCGGAGGGAAACACGTAAGATAAAATGTCTAGCTGCTTATTAAAAAAACAGGCAGCATTGTTCCACTGTATAATTTAACTTAGATGATTATTATGTATTATTACAATAAAATATAATTTATTTTTAATAGTGTCAAAATTTTGCTGAATAATGCTATTCTAATAACAATCACAGACATATCTCTAATTATAAGCTTTCTCTGCCAAACCTTTAACATTTTATACATATATCATACATTAAATTTATTCACGCACAGATATTTTTAAATGTTCTTACATTTCACATACAAGAATTATTGAGCCCAAGAATAAAATTAAATAAAGTGAATTAATTACCTGTTCGTCTTGTGTCGTAAACTTTTCCATGATATAATTTCTTTTCAATATTCTGCTGAATAGCATCACCAGCGCCTAAAAACATAACTCCTATGCCAGTATTTGTCAGCAACAGATGTTTCTTAAAGAAATAGTCAGATACATATTTGAATTTAGTAAAAAATTTCATTTCAACCTCTGTATGACGCAAGGATACCAATTGTTGCCATATTCTTCTTAAGCTACTTTGTGAAGCTCGGCCAAAGAACGTCTATGTCAATACATATTCTTTGGCTCGGCTATAGTGTACTAGAAGATACTAGAGATCTTCTAGTACACTATAGCTCGGCTTCCCTTCGGCTACACATACGTACGAACATTTCTTTTTTCTTTTTTTTTTTTTCTTTTTTTTTTTTTTAGGTAAGAGTCCCTCCATGGACGTATTCCCTCCACCCCAGAGAGAACGTCAATCATGTAAAGATCCTTATCTTTTAATAACAGTACTTCAGAATTCTGAATCCATTTGGTGATAAAATTCCCTAAAATTCGGGTTCTTATTGCAATGAGCTATCAAATCGGCCATTAGATCTATATCTCCTAGCTTCATTTTCCTTAGTATTTCGTCTCTAGCTTTCTAGTATTTTTTACAATGAATAATTACATGTTCCGTGCCGTCAATCAGTAAGCATTTATCACAGTAAGTAGAGTCCGATCTTCGATATCTGTACCGGAGCTGTTTTGTATCTAGCATCTGCACTCTTGTTTTACTAATTGTGACTTCCATTGCTCTACTAATGTTTAGTCCCTTGCTCCACTCTTCATAAACATCACAGTAACTGAACCTGCTGTTGGAAATAAATGCAGTTATATCATGCATTCTTTGGTTATATCGCTTTATATTTACCTTTTTGGAATGGCAACAGAAATTATATTGTTTACTTAGAATATTCTATCTGTCAGTTGAATTTAAAAATGCTAATGAAGATGCGAGTCTGTTCTATCTATGAGTAGGTTTCCGTATTCTTCTCGTAAAAATAAACACCGTAGTATTTTAAACCCGGTGAAGTGGATTTCTATTTTCTCGGGACTATTTCGCCATATTTTGGCGAATAGGAACTTTTAAATAAAAGTCATAAATTGAACTACGGTGTTAGGTTTCATTTCTGATTCAAAACTGTGCATTAAGATTACGGATACGACAGAACGAAGAGTTCTTTGGCGATTGTTCACAGTTGATGCAAATAATTTAGAAGAACTTATCTCCAGTAGAGGGAATAAAACAGAATTGAAAGCAAGATTTGAAGCATTAAAAATAAAATATGAAAGAATTAATGCTCTAAATTCCACTCATTAAAAAGAACTTCTGAAAGATAAAAATGTGACAGAAGATAAAGTGGAAGAGGAAATAGCGGAATGCGTAGTACGAATTAAGATTTCTTAAAATTAAAGAAACAATTTTTACTCAAACAGTACTCTCAGATGTTGAAGCTATATGTCAGACTGGGTTCAAAACTCAGATAAAATTACCTAAGATAGAATTAATTTGATGGAGATTTAAGGAACTGGATTGGTTACTGGGGACTGTCTACTAAAATTCATAATGATATCATTCTTTATCAGATGAAGATAAATTTGAATATTTGAGCCTTAGTATGAAATCTGGGTCATCAGCACAAAAATTAATTGAAGGTTTCCCACCATCAAAAGAAAATTATGCGAAAGCTATAGAGCTTTTAAAATCCAGATATGGGAAGGAAGAATTTTTAATAGAATTCTATGTTCGTGAATTATTGCCTCTAGGTCTATTAAAAGAGGAAAATATTCCAATTTCGCAACTGTATGACAAACTAGAAACACAGTTACGTGCTTTAGAATCTTTAGGCGTAACTAAAGAAAAATATGCAGCGATGCTTTTCCCGTTAGTTGAGTTAGCTATTCCAGAAAACATTTTTAAGATCTGGGAAAGACACCGGGTAACTAAAAAGGCTTCGACTAAAATTCCTTATGATTGTTTATGCGAGTTATTGGAATTTTTAAAAATAGAAGTAGAAGGTGAGAAAAGATTAAAACTTAGAAATGATTCTTTTAATGATGAAAGAAAATTTCCTTTTAATGGCAAAACAAAAGGTAATTCGAGAATTAACAGCAGAAATAAAGATATTCCTACGGCTGCTGCCTTAGTTTCAACAGAGAATTCTCGAATTAAAGAAAGAGTTTGCATTTTTTGTGATAGAAAAAGTCATAATTCCCAAGACTGTGCTACAACTGCTGATTATTCAATTAAAGAACGTAATAAAGTACTGAAGAAGAAAGGTATTTGTTTTAAATGTCTCAGAACGGGCCATATGAGTTTAAAATGCCGAGGTTTTGTAAGATGTGCGTTATGCAAAGGTCACATTATTCTATAATGTGGTCCAAAATTAGAAACTATGAAAATGATAAAACGTCTCAGAATGAAAATGAATCAGAAGTAGTTAAACTTTATCTATTTCATCTAAGTATTCTGTTTCATATTAACAAACTTTGATTGCACATATTGTTGTTGATAATAAAACACATCTAGTGAGAGTATTATGTGATTCAGGCTCTCAGAAAAGTTATATTAAAAATTCGATTGCAAAAGAATGTAATTTGAGACCACAAGGCAAGGTAACTTTATCGCAAGTATTGTTCGGTGGTAAGAGAATTCCGTTCTCGACACATAATATGTACAAAACTAAGTATTCAAGCCTTGATTCTCAAACTGTTTTTGAAGTTGATGTTATTAGATCTGATCAAATTTGTACTAACGTACCGAGATTTAAAAATGAGAAGGTTTATCAAATCCTTAAACGTAAAGGAATTGAGATAAGTGATTGTTTAAAAGATAATCATTATTTGGAAGATATCCAGGTATTATTAGGTGCAGGCGCTTGGGCGAAAATTGTAACATCCGAGGTGGTTTCTGTTGAAAAGAATTTAGTGGCTGTCAGAACCACTTTAGGTTGGACACTCTTAGGTAGTAGTTACGACCCAACGTCTATTTTTCTTGTTTACTTATTTCAATGAAATGCTCTATTGAAGCATCGAAATTTTGGAAGTTAGAAACACTACGCATTTCAGATCCTGATGAAAGAATTACAGAGAAGGAAAAAGATAAAGAAATCGAATCACGCATTAATGAAGCCACAGAACTGATGTCTACAGCTGGGTTCAACCTTAGAGGTTGGAAAAGTAGTTTAGATTTGAATGAAAGTCCAGAAAATGTGCTCGGTCTTCAGTGATATCACCCATCAGATAAATTGGGATGCCGAGTAGTATCTTGGTCTGAAGCTCCCACAAGACGAATCCTCCTATCATGCATTCAGAAAGTTTTTGATCCTATAGGAGTTTCTTCACCAGCTCTTCTTATTCCAAAGATTACTTTGCAGAAGACTTGGAAATTAAAGTCTGACTGTGACGAGGAACTACCAGAAGACATTCAGAAAGATTTCAGTAAATGATCTACAGAAGTACATTTTTTGATTGACTGCCGAATCCCAAGAAGAATTTTCATTAATTCAACAAGCTCTTTACACGTTTTCTGCGATGCAAGTAAACTAGCTTATGGTACCTGTATATTTTTAAGAACGGAAGAACATGAAGAAGTTTACTTGAGTCTTGTCCTAGCAAAATCCCGACTTACCCCATTGAAAGAGATCACATTACCGCGGTTGGAATTAATGGTCGCACTTCTGGATGTAAGATTATACAATTGGCTATCAAAAGCTTGAAATGTATAAACGCGAAGACTCATTTTTGGTCAGACTCTTCAGTGGTTTTAGCATGACTAAAGAAGCGAAATAATTGGTCTGTTTTTTGTAGAAAACCTAGTTAAAGAGATTCAAGATTACAGCAAAGAAGGATGTTGGAAACATATACCAGGGATCTTAAAGCCTGCTGATTTAATGTCAAGAGGATGCTATCCATTGCAACTCCTAAAATCCCAATGGTGGAAAGGACCTGAATTTCTGAAGAAACCTCCAGAAACTTGACCTTCAAATGATCCTGACTTTGATATGAAAGTAATGGATAAAGAACGACGTCGAACTGTCATTTCGGCGAAGAATTCAACGGTTGAAGCTATTGTAGAATCGGTACTTACTGTCTACGAATATGATGTCAGTAAACTTACTTCTTTTGTGGCTGTCTAGAGGCTAATAAACTAGTCCAATTTACAAATAACTTGACTATTTTAATGGAACATGAAAGTTGCTACAACTACAAATGATTACATGTGTAGAAGATGAATTTAGATAGATGATATTTACAGATGAGAGAATCGACCGTTCTTGTACATGTAAACACTTTCAGTCGCATCATCGTCTTAATAGCGGAATGTCTGACGTCTATCATCGGAAAAGTAAAAGATTATTCTCACGCTTGTCACGTCATCCGATTATAATGAACGATGCCATCCCACAACTGCTCAGTTTATTCTGACAGAATGCGGCCTCGCATTCTCGTAGTACTATCAGGTTCAATGTTCCGTCTTACTTTCTTCGGGAACATGCAAGGACCTGACTCGGAACAGAGAGCTTACTAAAGCTATGTTCAATCACTGTGGGAAGTAGACAGGATACACAAGAAGGGTATACAAAACCCTTTATTTTTCACTATTTACAATAACTTCCGTACTTCGGAATACACAGACCCGCTACTTGTGGTCTAACGTAAAAATATAAAAATAAACTAAACTCTAATTTAACTTAAAATAATAAACGTGGAAGATTGGCCTTATGTAACAGGAAGCCGCATGTAGTACAGAGAACTGTGACACATACGTGTTTAAAAATTATCAGAGGATTAAAACCTCTGGCCTGAAAGGCAACCAGCAACTGAGTAAAAACTCTAGGTAAGCGGCCCTGCTTCAACTCTCTGCTTCCTCTCTCTCGCTTGGCAAAAAGCCCAACTTAAATACTTGGCGTTCGCAGACAAACTTGCTAAATACATAACGCTTATAATGCTGGCGGAAGTAGAAAATAAGAAGTGATGGTAAAGATTTAAAAAAATAAACGTTAGTAAAACTTAAGATCCTTAAGTACGACCATCAACATCTAGGGATCTGAAACAAATTAAAAAAAAACCAAAAAAAAAAATTTTTTAGTTAGTATGAGGGAAAGTCGTCTTAAATGGTTTATTTCAGCATCTTCCTCATCATCTTAACATCTTCAGAAATAAGGCTTTGTCTTTTCTTCAATGCTCTTTCAGTATGCGTTCATCTGACGTCTTCTGAGGAATGTACTTCACAAACAAGTCTTCCTTTGATGTTGTCTGGAACAATTCGTCTGGATTCGTCTTCGTATTTACGTCTTTTTAAACATCATCCGGATACGTCTCTTGAATGCGTCTTCTTAGATACCATCTTCTTAAAGCCGTCTTCCTTCTATACATTTTATCCTTAGACTCATCTTTAGTCTTCTTAAATTAGTTCACGTCTTTAAAACAATATCCCATTAGTCAAATCTGGAGAAATTTGTCTAGTCGGGAAAAAAGTCTAAATCAGGAATTATCAAAAATCGTTATTTCATTATCAAAGATTTTCGATTTTCTTCCTGTGTCTTCTGAATCTGCATTTCCGCTTCTTTTTTCTCACCTTCTTTAATTTCTTTTGTTCCGTCTTTGTTTTCTGTATCAGCGTCGTTGTGATCAGGTTTTCTGATTGACTTCTACTCTTCAGTCTTCTCTTCTTCTCCGGTTGTCTCTGTAGTTTCCTTGTTTCCAGTGGTTTCTTTTGCTTGTCTGTTATCAGATAACTTATCATCGTCATCACTTTCGGATTTTAGAAGCTTAAAATCACAAAGACTATTCAATATTAAATCAAAGTTTTTATCAGGATTTGAATCATAATTAAGGTGTAACAAATTACACACAGAAATAAAATCATTTGCAGTAAGTTTTAAGTAATTTTGTTTTCAATATTAAAATCAGATGGAAACCACAAAATTAAGCGAACTCGCTCTATTTTTTCGATCAAGGAAGTTCCCAACACAATTGATGTAAAGTTTAATTGACTTAGTAGGCACAGTCTTTAAGGAATTTGAATTCTAGGAATAGAATTAAGGTAGTTTCTTAATTCACATATCGTAGAACACATTCTTAGAAGTAACAATGCGGAAATAATCGAAACAAAACTTGCTCCTTTCTTTTGTAATATTCATCATGATTCTTCCTAGGCTCATCGCGGCCTGAGCGGCCAAATCTGTAGAATCGGTACTTACTGTCTAGGAATATGATGTCTGTAAATTTACTTCTTTTGTGGCTGTCTAGGGGCTAATAAACTAGTCCAATTTACAAACAACTTGAATTTAAATGGAAACATGAATAGTTCCTACAAACTACAAAATGATTACATGTGTAGAAGGATAAATTTTCATAGATGATATTTACAGATGAAGAGAATCGACCGTCTTTTACATGTAAACATCTTTCAGTCGCATCATCGTCTTAATAGCGGAATCGTCTGACTTCTATCATCGGAAAAGTAAAAGATTTATTCTCACAGCTTGTCACGTCATCCGATTATAATGTACAATGCCATCCCACACTATTCTAGCTAAACTTGCCTCCAGATTTTCGAAATATTCTATGATTGTACGAACTATTGCTTGGATGTTAAGATTCCGACCCACTTGTATGAGAAATGAAAATCGTTTGGCTAATATATCCGCTGAAGATTTCGAGAAAGCCGAAAAAGCTTTATATTTCCTTTTACAAAAGGATGCTTTTGAAGAAGAACGAAAAAAGTCTGATCTGAAAAATCTTCAGATTTTCGTTGATGAAAATGGAATTTTAAGAATGAAATCTCGAGTTTTAGATTCTTCAGATTTTCTAGAATATACTACATTCCCTGTATTGCTACCTTCTAAAAATGTAGTTGTAGAAAGAATGATTGAGCAATTACATTTAGAACATAAACATGCTGGAACACAAACACTTCTGGTGATTTTGAGAGAAAGAGTTTGGATTATCAGAAGTAGAAAAACTGTACGTTCTGTGGTAAAAAGATGTGTCACATACCAGAGAGTATGCTGTTAAGGCCTTAGAAGTACCTCTTCTTCCCTTGCCTGAAGACAGGACAAAAATGCTCAAAACTTTTCAATTAGGGCGCAATCGCGCCGCTCACCCGAAAGCGAAAATGAAAAGTCCATGCAGGACGTGCGATCAGTGCTGGTGTAGAAAAAACGAAAGTCCTGTAAAAACAGAAAATCAGTGTAGAGCTGAAAAGTCCTAAATCATTGCAGAGAGAATTCTAAACGTTGAGTTCTTAAGGTAGCTAATCATCATTTTCTGCGAATTCCATTATCATCATGGTAGTTTGAAATCCGACTTTGAATTTCTCAGCTGTAGTTTTGGCTTTCTTATTGTTTTCAATATGAGAGATTATTCCACTTATAAAATTCCTTGTTTTCTCATCGCTGAGCCATGAGAAAGCTTCTGTAATATGTTGGTGTGATAATTGGAGTTTTCCTTTAAACTTTTCGCTGTAAGAGGTGTTCCTTACTTTCTCTATCACTTGTTCAGCTTTATTTCTCATCTCGGGAAGCATATTTCACAAGTGCACATCAGCGTAGCCACTGAGGAAGGGGTTTCGAAAATGGACCAATGAGCTTCTATTGCTCTTGTGACGCTAAATCTTCGTGCCATATGAGCGTATGCTGTTGACGTTTTAATTTGCATTTGTTTCGCAATTATAAATGTACCGCATAAAAGTAGAAAACCTCGTAGTGCTTTTGTTTTATGAGTTTAATTAATGGCTGACATTTCACTTTCGCGATTTTTATCACGCATTGATATTTGGATTGATGTTCACGGTATATTATTGCTCTTTACATCGAGAAAAGGACTCAATTACAATTAGCCTCAAATATATGAATTTACTAACAAATATGGATTAAGAGAAGTCATGTGTATAGTTTTTTAATATTTTTTATTGAGCTGAGAAGGACTGGAAGTGTTGCAATTAATCTAGTGTTTTCTTATTTCAATGCTTGAATTCTTTTGATTTTGAAAGTGTGAGATTCAGAATACCTATCGTGCATGATCTGATTATATCCATTGTTAACATTAAAAGTTATATGTGAATAAATTGAATACATTCGTTGTGAATAGATAAATTCATTCTGTTTGGTGATTATTTCTCGTGTAGACAGTATGTTTAAGAGTGAGCAGTTATTAAATATGAAATTTAACACACTGATTGCAAATTAGTGAAGTTCACTTTGAATAAAATTCTGCATTGGCT